CATGGGCATTCGGCGTAGAACACCCAGGACCACCCCAGCTGAGCTCATGGCAGAGCCTGACACCAGGCCAGCTGAGCTCAAGGAGAGGCCTGATGGCAGCCCCGCGCCCATTGATCTGACGGCAACCTCTGAGACCGCTGTGACCGAGGACACGGCCAACCCTGACACCCCACTGGCCGATGTCCCTGCCAAGGCCGACACTGAACTGGCTCACTCCACAACAGAGCCTGACAGTGCTTTGGCTGATGACAGAACCAGCTGTGACACCGAAGTGACTGATGTCTTGGCCAAGGCTGACATGGTGCCTACCGATGGCACCTCACACCCTGATGTGGTACCGATGGAAGGCACAACAAAACCTGTCATCACTTTGGCTGGTGACACAACCAGCTCTGACACCGCTGCGACTGATGTCATGGCCAAGGTGGACATGGTGCCTATTGAAGGCACCTCATACTCTGACATGGCACTGCTGGACTGCACAGCAGAGCCTGACACTGCTTTTGCTGGTGACAAAACATGCTGTGACAGCGCAGTGACTCCTGTCATGGCCAAGGCTGACATGGTGCCTATTGAAGGCACCTCACACCCGGACGTGGCACCAACTCATGGCACAGCTGAGCCTGACACCACATTGGCTGGTGACACAATGGGCTCTGACACCACAGCTACTGATGTCATGGCCAAGGCTGACATGGTGCCTATTGATGGCACCTCACAGTCTGATGTGGCACTGATGGACGACACAGCAGAGGCTGACATCACATTGGCTGGTGACATGGACCTCATGGAACAGGCTGACATCGCACCGATGCTGAGTGACGGCACATCAAGCTCTGCTGAGGCATCGGTGGATGACACAGAAAACTCTGAGACTGCCTTCGCTGAATCGACAACCAACGCTGAAACAAGAACAAGTGACCTCATGGCAGAGATTGACACCACCACTGAGAACATCGGAAATGCTGACACCATGCCCACAGAGAGTGTCTCCAATGTGCAGCATGTAAGTTTAAGTCCCCCAGTATTCTTGTGGCCTCTCAAGCAGGATCCACTGGCCCCCTAAGGCTTTGAGGCCAGCAGAGTGTGGTGGGAAGGGAAGCCCTTCACTTGGGAGAAGTTGGGCAGCCTGCTCACTGTGGAAGCTCTCTAACTCTCTCCCACTGCCTCTCCAGGTGCCGGCCATCATTTGGAACATCCACCATGATCTGACGTTCAATGTGTCTCTGCGC